CCTTTTGGGAAAGCAAATTTGTGTTGAATTTAATGGAAACGAAAGGTCTACTCATATCAATGTGGGGGAAATTCAAAGACCGGTTCATTCTCCCCTTAAACGAAATAGGATGAATGCACTACTTGAAAGGTAACTTTTCATCGAAAATGCCAAACAGTTATGGCCTCTGGCAGTCTGCATTCTGCGGCCCAGCCTCCTTTTGAAGCCGAGAACTTTGGGGTTTCACGCTCGAAATTGCGTCTCGCTGCAAGACTGAGGGCCTTAAGCATGGACCAATTTGGAAGGGACTCCCTGTCGAACTACCCGTCGGTATGATCTTCCAGCATCTGCAAATCAGTATCTGCCAACTTTTTACAAATAGTACTAAACATTCAGCAACACTTTGGTTTATCTCGTTTCCCTCAAACGCGAAGTATCTTTGGATTCATCTAAAACCCTACTTCAAAATGTTATTCAGCCTAAATGATGTCATTTTGAAGCCAATCCTAAAAGATCGGCAGTTGAGGCATGACTCTGCCATTCCAAATGTCGACAAGAGTGGTTAGTTGCGAGGGCCGTAAAGGTGGATTGTAGCCCGGCCTAACCTCTGGACAGCTCAATTGTGCCGCTGCACAGTCGTAAAGGGTCTACAACTTGACAAAATGCCGCTCCGTATGACCGTGACAAAGCTGCAGCCAACTGTGTCTTAGCGACCGCCATTCTGTGCTCCACAAAGAGGCCTTTCTCGTTTGCACAACCCACATTGCCTGCCTCACACAACTGGCTTGTGTGTCTGTTTGGCTGTTGGCGTGCACCGTGTCAAGGCTCGGGTATGGACGACCAACAAACTTGATAGGGCGCCTAGAGACACTCAACCACAAGACAGGCGCACACACGACGCGGTGTTTCGCTGATGCCTTCTCAGAGGGTTTGCTCATCGGCCAGCTGCTTCCTTTCAGACAGCAACAGATTCGGCCGAGCGCAAGTGATGTTGAGTAGAGACCGGTGAAGACGAGCTAAACTCACAATCGGCCTCATCCGTTTGTACCTACACCATGGAAGTGTGCAGCGGATTTGTCATGCCGTTGCCATGACAGGCAACCAAGACGGGGGCACACAAGTGGAGCGGAGAGGAGTGTGTCTGCGAAAGGAAGTGCGTCTTCATAGTTTGCCTCTTGCCTCGGCCATCGGAGCCGGCACAGGGTGTGATTGTGACGCGGACAGGGCAGGCTAGTAATACCGAGGCTTCGGGCAAAGCATGCACTACCGACAGATCGCCAGACGAGTGTGGAAAGTGTGGCTTACTCGCTTCCTCGGTTGGTCAAGTCTGCCAAATCACCACACGCATACACTCACTTACACACGCAGACAGACAGACAGACACATTGCACACTTTAGAGTGTGGCCACACGCACAGTTACGCCAGCGAGTGTATACTCAGGCACATTCGCGCAGACACACAATCGGCCAGTCTCTTCTCGCCGCCGTCTACTTGTGGCCTATCTTCTTCTTGTTGTTGCCTTGGTTCGCCGACTTCGCATCACTCCTGCCGAGGGCCTGAAGTGACGCTTTCAGCGGAGCTGCTCACTTCCAACTATGCTATCCTCTGCTCCACCTCCTGGGCGCATGCGGTCTACACCACTCCGCGCCTATTTCAGCCGAGCGGGACCCCATTTCACAGACAATCCTTGGTACAGGCCTGCAGACACATCCGTCCTCTGCTAGACGGAGGCAACCGAGCGCACACCCACAAACACACACACACACACACACAGGCGTATAAGGACACATATAGAGACCCAGAATCCCAGTCGTCTGCTCCGGGGCCCTGGGAGTGACCGGGCGGCCCACCTCTCCGCTCCTCCGACTCGTCCAGGGCTTGGGCAGCTGGCCCAGCCGACCAACCGGGCAGTCGGCTTGTGCCGGTTGACAAATGCTCTTGACGGTTGCCTGCCCAGTTACCGCCCAGCATCTTCGCTCCTTCCCCTAGTTCCCTGCTCATCCCGTCCCCATGCACCAGTGCACATACGCATGAACACATAAACAAGCACACAAACGCACATATAAGTGTGCGGTTTTCATACGCATGCCTGTTAGCACCACTCGCGACAGCAGTGCAGCAGAGACGGATCTGCAGTGAAGCCAAGGGATTATTACTCAAGCCAGTTGGTGTTGTGAGCATCGCGACTAATCGCAAGGATGCTCAGTTCGGCCGAAAAGAGCTGGTCTCTGAGAGTCTGCGACGCCATGCTCGAAGCAGCGATCGTCCGGCTCGTGCCTTACATTCCTCTCATCCGTCCCCTCGGTCCTCTCCTCCCGCGGCGGTCACAGTCGCCGGGCCGCCACGGCCTCTGCAGACTCCTCTTTTGGCCTCTCCTGCTACTCGTCAGCGGGCTCGTAAGCTCGGCTACTGCGAGTTGTCGCACCGCGACTGGGGCGCCCATCTGTTGCCAGGGCAAACAGTCCGCCTGCTACGGTTACTCGTTCAGCCCGTCTCTAGTCGCCAACCTGTCGCAGAGCCAATTCGCGGGAGGACGCAATCGGCTGCGGATGGATTCGGCCATGGACACGGGCAGAGAGGCCGTCTCCTCGGCACTGCCCATCCAGCTGCGTCGGCTGCCGTCGCTAAAGTTGAAACGCTGCTTCTGCGACAACTCGTGCACCCGAACAAACGACTGTTGCCCCGACTACCGAGAGGTCTGCCAAAAGCCTGGTAAGTTGGGCGAAAAAGACAGAATTGCCTCGATTTTTACGCATACTCCCGGGCCGAAAGCCCTCCCCTAGAGGCATCCTTTGCAGACAGCAGATGCACTGGCTGGGCACAGTGTACTGGTGCAAGGTGTTCAATAAACTTGAAGCGCCAACTGGGGAGACTGTGATTATGCAATCACTTCGGTGTCGCAGATTGCCGCATTTCGGCACACTCCGTTCCACAACAGGGGTCATATCAACCTAGACCAGGCCGTCTCGTCGACCGCTTTTGGTATGGACCAATTCAAATCGCTCTAGTGAAGTGGGGCTCGGACAAATTGAGTCACCCGAAGTGAATGCGACCAAGTGGAAAAGATACCAAAAGCCTGTGCTTCAGAGACATGGAGATAAAGTAGACTTCAAAAGGACCACGTTTGGAAATTATTGTGAAAATTAGTATTCATTTAAGACACAATTTAGTCAGAGGGAGTTGATGAAGCGATCTAACCGCCCTAGGTTGCGCCAAAAAGTCCCCTACACACCGTCCCACGATCCCGAATAACCTGTGCTAGTCCCCGGTCTACACGAAGCAAACGCGGGTTTCAAAGAATCATTTGGGATAAGATTGTTGTAAAGGCATTCATTTCGTCTGAAAGTGCATAATGAAGAGATTCATAGGTTAATCTCACCAGGAGACAACGGCCTATTCGCGTGGTATTGAATCCGTCTGGCTTTAATACGACCTTAAGGTTAATGCAGTAGTCCACGAGGCATTCTCCAACGTTTCAGGCGAATATGGGCGGATTTACCGTTCTTCATATGACGAACATCGTCAGAGCAGTGACTTATTCTTGCAAAAGCCTCAAGTTAACACTAAGTCAGGGAGACTGACTGGCATTTTACTATATGATATAAATATATTCATAGCGATACAAATGTCAATAAATAAATAAATAAATAAATAATTATATATAGAAGAAAAATGTTTGGTTAATTCCCTTATACTCGAGTGTATATGTGTGTTTATGTATGCTAACGTCTGTTTGCAAAATCGGCTATAGCTATGAGTAATTAGAAAAATGCTTAGTGCTAGTTCGGTTTGCGTACACGTTAACACATATATACACTCGAGTATAAGTGAATTAAACAAACCTTTCTATATCCATCCATACTTAAATTGTTCGTCCTATAAGTATATTTATATCATACATAAAAATGCCGGTCAGTTTGCTTGACTTAGTGTTAACTTGTTGCTTTTGCAGGAATCTCTCCATCATGCACTTTCAGACGAAATGCAAGTTTTCAAAATATTTCTTCTTCTGAATCTTTTTGTCGGACACTATCACAACAGAACCCCATACTTTACGAAAGGCATACCAAAAATGTATTTGGGGGCCCGTTGCAATCACACTCATCTATTATGTTTGACTTTTCGATCCTGATGAGGCATCCAATTAGTTGGCTGGCTATTCAACGCCAAGTTCGTATGCAATTCGGACGTTGTTAACTTAATCAATTAGGCCGAGGACACTCTTCATGCCACGGCAATACCCATTTCTTTTACCGTAAGGCCAATTTACGTTTAGTGAGATGTGCTCACCCTATTTTGTTTCGGTGGATGCAAAACCAGTAGCTGGTTTCAAGACTGTGTGAGATGCAATGGAAGCGCAAGGTCTACTCACATCATTGTGGGAAAATTCAGAGCACTTCAACCCCACAAATGAAAAAGGGTGAACATATCACATAATCCTGATTTACTGCTAGCCCTACCTAAAAAATGAATAACAATTATCTAATTGCCTCCAACAAACTATCTCTTCTAAATGAAAAGTCATATCATAATGGGTTTAACAAAATTGTAATTCGTTATACATCTTGAAAAAATAACTTTTTTCTCACGAGTTGCCTAAGTTGAGTTAAGTAATATGATTGGATTATTTAGCACAATGCCATTACTAGGTCTCACAATACCATTTAATTTCACTTTGCATAGTCCCTCATAAACTCTTCCCATACAGGCTGGAGTGTAATTTCAATCTCGCCTTTGGCTCATCAATGTCCACAGAGAGGCTCAAAATCGGGCAACTGCTTGTTGTTGCGAATTTAACAACAAGTCAGGCTTCGCCCAAATCACACTTACAGCATGCATTTATGACTGAGGCAATCATGCATTTTTCGTTGAATTTAATGACGCTACCTATATTCGATGTAAATATGGATGCTGACAACAGAGATAGCAACGGTAGTCTACCTCGGATAAAAACACCTTACAGAGGGAAAAGCTAAGCTAAATTCAGTGGCATTATGAGACCTATTATCAGTACTTATTTTGGAAGAAGGATGTATTAGTGCAGTTACATAATGATGAATTGGAAACAGAAGCAACTTCAATAGATATGAGCACAATATAGCAGGTCTTTTAGGTGAAAAGCTCAGCTATTGCATTTGCATGGGTTCAAAAATCTCACGTACGTACCTACAGTCAAGCCTCCAAACTCGAATATCAATACACATTATTCGTCTGGCTTAAGTTGCCATTCAACCATTATGCTTAAAAGCTGAAATGATAGAATTAGCAACTGATTTATTATAGCCAATTTATCTGATTCACATGCTCAAATAAAATGCGTCAAAGGCAAGGCCAGAAAAACGAAAAAGATAATTTGCATAAAACAAAAGATTTTAGCAGTCAAAGATGTATTAAACCCACAAATTTATAAGTAGGCATAAAATAAAAAAAATAAAATAAATTGAATAATTCATATATTAATCTAAATTAAAGAATATATGAATAGAGATCATATATGATGAGATAATATTAAGAGGGAATTGATAAAATATGATGAGATGAGATGAGAAGAGATGAGATGAGAGAAGATGTGAGGAGATGAGATAAAATGATATAAAATGAAACGAGATGAGAAAACAAAAAATGAGATTAGATATGAAGATAAGATAAGAGATGAGATAATTTGATTAAAATAATAAAGATAAGGAGTCAAAGATGCATTGAATTAAAAAAATCTAGTGAGGGGAAAAAATAATTAAAATAATACATATATAAATATAAATAAGAGAATAGATCAAAAGAGATGATATATAATGAGAAAATATAAAAAGTGAATTGATTAAAAAGATGAGATATGATAAGAAGAGATTAGATATAATGTGAGGAGATAAGAGAAGATGAGAGAAAATGT